GTGTGTGTGTGTGTGTGTGTGTGTGTGTGTGTGTGTGTGTGTGCGTGTGTGCGCGCGCGCGTTAGTGCGCTCTGACCTTTGCAGTTTTCAGTTGAGGGTTGGCTAATGGGGTGCAATTTACTTAGAAAACCTGAACAGCGATGACTGGGAAAGAAAAGGGAGAAATAGATCTTGGGTTTTTTTCTTTTCTTTTCTTTTTTCTTTTTCGAACATCCGAACAAAGAAACGAATGGAGAACCATGATCGCTTGTAGGTCCTCTCTCTCTGTTTCTGGTGTAGCCTAGGCACTCTAGGCTAATCAAGCTCCTTGGGTGTAATTGTATTGTAATTATGTCTGGTGTCCAGACTGGGAAATAACCACTAACTCTTCCCCTCCCCTCAGTTTAGTCTCAACTTGAGAGGAAAAAAATGGAAGCTAAAGAAAATTGACTTAGTAAGTCTGATTTTGAAACATCATAATAGATTAAAAAACAACAACACTTCAACTACTGTTGTTGAAAACAGGTTTTGTTCACAAAGGCTAGGCCTTTTTTGTTAGGCTATCGAACAGGCACCGGCCGGCAGTCTTTGCAGTGACTTTGTTAAAAAAATCCGGAAACCGAATCCAACATTCTACTTCCGCCCTTTCTCTACACATGTCGGTCGGACACTGACGGAAACGCCATATTTGACAGCTGGCCTATCGTTTGTCTTCTTGACTGCTTTCTCGTGACTTTATATTCTGTGTGAAAGTTATGCATTGAAGCAGTCATGCCTACTTATTTTCAAAGACCAGAGAATGCCCTTAAGAGGGCAGATGGTAAGCGTTGTAACACTGCCCATGATCGTCAAGCTGTTTGTTCACATTCATTCACTGACCCCGGGGCTTTGTTGGTCCCGCCCATGAAATAAATGTCCCATGTTGTGTCTTCTGTGATGTTCCCCTGTTTTGTTCTCATCCCGAAAAATTCATGCTGTTCTTTTGGGTTTTCCTTTATTTGGTAACTACAGTGTTTAGCTGCCCAGGCCTAGATCTAGATCTAGATTCTAATCTAGATCTATTGATTTCACAGTGACTATGACTAAGACTAAAAAGTTAGCTAAGGAGAATGTACAACAACACTTCTCTGGTCACAAGCAGCAACAGGCAACTTCTAGATTTCAGATCTTCTTAGTCCTCCTAGATCTATAAATGTTGATATCTAGATCTAGATGTAGATCTAGATCTCTATACCTGTTTCGTTTTTTCTACACAGGTTTTTAGTTGGATTTTTTGCAACAATTTCATTAGGGAAGGGCCACCTCTATTCTCACCCGGGATGAGAATAGTGCAGGCTAGTCTTTTGGCTATTCTCACCCGGTGCGCGTTCACCGTTATAGCCTAGATCTAGGCCAACAAATTTTGCGTTCACCCTAAACCACAGAATTCTACACTGTGATAACAGAAAAATTGTAGAATTCTGTGCTGTGAACAAACGTTCCATTACAACTGTAGCCTACTAAAAGCGTACAATTTTGTATGTGGGCAGTGGAGAGAGAGAGAAAGAGACAGAGAGAGGAGTAGCGCGAGAACTTCCGGTCAAAACAAAATGGCGACCCGCGAAGTTCGGCTCGATTCGAAAAGTTAAATAGCCGTAGCATCTTTGTAGACAACCAAATTAATTTACTTTTGTGTTTTAACATCATTTTTTAACTTTGTTTTGGTCATTTTGATCGTCCACACTGATAGACAGTATTCAGAAAGAGACAGAGAGAGAGAGGGGAGGAGTAGATCTTGCGAGAACTTTCGGGCAAAACAAAATGGTGACCCGCGTAGTTCGGCTCGATTCGAACTGTGAAATAGCCATAGCATCTTTGAAGACGATCAAATTAGCTTACTTTTACTGTGCTATAACGTAATTTGTTCTTGGCTTTTATCAATCTGATCACCCACACCGATAGACAGAATTCCACAATGAGGAAAAGCATGTTTTGTTTCGCACCGGGTGAGAATAGCCTACGCTGGCAAGTCTCACCCAGGGTGAGAGGTAGATCGTTTTTCTATTCTCACGGTGAGAATATAAAAAGACAATCGACATCTCACCCAGTGTGAAACAAGACCTGTTTTTCCTATTTTCGAAATACTTTCTATCGGTGTGGATGATCAAATGGATAAAAGCAACTGGGTGAGAATAGAGGTGGCCTTTTATTAGACACTTAGATCCCCATAGTGAAGGAAATCAGGGGAGACAAGCGGATAGCTAGGGAACGACAACTGAAAGCCATTGGCCGATATTTGTAGATGGCCATCTTGTTTGACGTCATTGAGGCTGAGGGATTCCCACTTTTTCCGTCATGGTGGCAACATGACTGCGCGATGGCAGTCTGCCGACTCTGATTATTTTCTTTGCAACTTGCAGAGCTGTTCGGTTCGGTTGTCTGTGATTGTGCAGCACCTTTCTTCCACCCAGATTGACTCTGATGCTATACACTACGTAAACTGAGAAAAAGAAAAAGACTAAGAATATCTAGATCTAGGCCCAGGTCAAGTTGGATACAAAAGCAAGTTCAAAGTTCAACTGCGCAGTGCAAATGATCAACCGTTTCGATCTCGATCTTCCAACTTTGGTAGTCTTAAATGGGACTCTTATTTTGTGCACTAAATCATTCGAAAGTTCCCTTTGTAACATGACAATCTCAGTGATTTAAGTAAAACAAAGAATTACAATGAGACCAGTTGATTAAGATAATTGAAGGATTTTAAAGATGTTCTTCATTGAGCTAAACTAAAAAAAAATTTACATGGCCTGTTAATTTTTCGTAGTTTTCATGTTAATTTATTTGTCCAATTTTGTACCCTTGGATCACTCATTTCAACAATTTTCATTTCAGAGTTCATTGATGTTGGAAAGAAGCAAAGGGCTTTAGATGCACTTTATGATGTCATCAAGAGCAAAAAGCATCGAACATGGCAGAAAACGCACGAGCCCATCATGGAGAAGTATCTCTCTCTGTGTGTGGAACTGCGCAAGTCTCATATTGCTAAGGAGGGCTTGTACCAGTATAAGAACATTTGTCAGCAGGTGAAGGAAATGGATTGTGTGAAGTTTATTTATTTGATTTGACTCGGAAATAAATGTGCTAAAGATAATTTTTAAAGTCCCCGGCCATCTGTTTGTTTGCAGTACTGAGAGGGGGGGGGCGCGTTATTTTGGTTTCCTAATTTTTGTCTCTATTCTTTATAGTTTTGCTCATACAGTCCCTGCCGGCATAAAGCACGCTTCGGACTCAAGCATGCTAAACGGCTTTTACCTAATTTTTGCTATATAAATTACACACCTTTAACACAGTAACTTCGGCTTCAGGCACACTTCATTTACAAGACAGTCCATACTTTCATGATGACTCATCGAAGTTCGAACACAGTCTACACCGCAGCAGTGGAGTGTGTAAGTAAGGAGAAACACAAAAAATGCAAATGATGGAGACTCACACGGGCGGAGAAGAAGGCAGAGAGATGCACATAGCCGTTCGCGTGGACATAGGATCTAGCCTAGGGCAAAGCTACACACAGACAAAAAAACAAAACAAAGGGAGGCTTGCTGCGATTTCAACTTTGATCCTCGCTATCCATTAATCCTGATTGTGTATCACGCGCGAGGTGGGATGAAGGCAGGGGTATGAATGTGGCACAGCGGGCAGTGTGTAGGCCTAGTGTGCTGTATCGTGACTGACCGTCTAAATTAAGTATCCATTTCCCATTCGACCAAAAAACAAAAACAAACAAGAAAACAAAAACTACCATGGTGGGTAAAAATAACAGTGCTCACTTTTGCGGGAGCGCTATAGGCCTACTTACAAACAAAGGGATATAGCACGGGAAATTTTCTACATGAAAATCTCTTATAATGTCTACTTCGCACTCAAGCACGCTTCGGCATTAAGCATGCTTAAGCTTTCTCCCGATGACCGTGCTTAAAGCCGGCATGGACTGTATTAGTTTGCTCTCGATGTGGGTTTGACAAAAAAAATATTGATGGCTGGAAAGGGTTATTGAAAACTTTTACCGCTGAATGGAAGTATAAATAAATACAAAAAGAAAAAAATTGATTATATTTTATAACACTGGTCATTCATCATGGCTCTGAACTGTACAATGTAGGGTCTTTTTTTGTACTGAACATATTCTTGATTCTGCAGCATGTTACTGCCTTTCTGAATTTATCTTTTTTTTTGGCAAGAAAAAGACATCAAGGGTCATTGTTTTGCTGAAATTTTTACTCAGGTGAATATCAGCTCCTTGGTGGAAGTTGTGAAGAACTACATAGCCCTTGCTGAGGAAAAGACAGAGGCTGCCCGGAAAGAGTCTCATCAGACTGTTGTTGACATCGATGATTTAGATCTGCCAGACTCCCCAGAAAGGTAAGTATTATTTTGTAAATGTTCCTGTCATTGTAAACATCAGTTGAAAAGACTGAAATGATGTTTGTCGTTTTAGTGGAAGGACATTTTGGGATGTGTCCCATTTTCAAGTTCATTTTTGTTCTCGTTCATTAAGAAAAATTGTTGAGTGTAAAGGTTTTCCTTACTTTGTTTTCATGTTTGCAAACACCCATGGTTTCTCTTCGTATTAATGATTTGAAAGATAAACAACAGGGAAAATTTCCTTTGTTTTTTATTTCAGTCTGTTGCTGAAAGCTGTGAGTGGTGAGGATCTGCAAGATCGTACTGACAGAGCCATTCTGACGCCATGGGTGAAGTTCCTGTGGGAGTCTTACAGGCAGTGCTTAGACCTTCTGCGGAACAATTCTCGAGTGGAGAGGCTGTATCAAGACATTGCCCAGCAGGGTGAGTATTTTTCTTTTGTCTTCTATTTTAAAAAGAAAAAAATTGTTAGTAGGGAAGGGGTTATTTTATGTGCAATTTCTTTTGTCTAATAAGAGTTCCGTAATGATTTGTGACTAAAAGAAATAATTCAAGATGAGTATTGTCTAAATGGAAAGGGATGTAGAAGTCATGATTATTATATTTTTGAGTTTTTGCTTTCTTGGCATTTAATGAGTATATTTGTTTTCAATCTAACTGTTAATTTGTGAACAAGACCATTGTGTTTTGCTTTTTGTATAGCAATACAGGGCACAATTATATTCTCACTGATATTTGTTTCAGCATTCAAGTTTTGTCTGAAGTACACGAGGAAGACAGAGTTCCGAAAGCTGTGCGACAATGTGAGCATCATAGCTAAATACTGTTTTCCATGTTGGATAGGGAGATAGTCTTTGATGTACTCATTAATCTGACTGATTTTGGGTGTCTGGGTTAAATTTAAATATTATTTTAAACAATTTCTTTCAAATTTAGTTTTCTGGCTTGGTTTTTAGTATGGGTCTGTACAAAGATGATACTGATTTTCGGGTCAACGGTTAGCTTCAAGTTTTCTGTATGTTGAGTCGATGCTTTCCACAAAAAATGTCGAGGCAGAAAGAGTAAAGGTTTTTTATTGAGCATGTACATTTCAGAAATTTGTCAAAATATTCTTTGCCAAAGCCCAACTTTCTTCTGCCCGGTGCTGACTGCTACATGTGATAATTTTTTTTCAAACTCCTCACCAATATGGAAGTGAAAGTAGATCCTGTCAAGTTTATTATTCATAGGTAGATTGAAGCTCAGACCTGTTGCGTTTTAATGTGGATTTTTTTTTTTTTAACATGAAAGCAATATTGAAATGTTGCACGCAGTTATTTTTTTCAAAAAGCCCCACAGCTCGTTGCGATGATATAAAGGAAGAAGTCTTTGGTAGATTGAGGTTTCTGAAACTCGTTTCACTATTGAAAAAATCTAAACAAGAAGTGGAAGGTTCTTTTGAAACATGAGAGTGCACTCTAGGGCAGTTTTGGTGACTTATGAAATATACCGTGAGTGTTTGGGGGGGGGGGATGTATTTGCTAAGGAACCCTGTCTGTATACATTTTTTTAAACCCATCCTTCATATGTGTTTACATGTATTTCTATTTCTTTGTATATCTGTGTGTGTATATAAATATATATATGGAAGTATGTAAATGTATTGTTTCATACATTTACTTGGTTGTGGTAAATTTGTCCTTGTTTTCCCTGTGCTGTTATCATTAGTTTTATAGAGAGATGTTTTGGATGATATAAAAATACTTCTTAGGAATACAGTGGTTATATCAATTTTATCCCCTTACTTTGGTTTGATTGTTTTTTCCACATGTGTAATTTGTGACTAGTATTCACAATGAATGAAGACAAATGTTCATCTTTGTTGGTGAAATGTTTTTTCACCTAAAAAAATTATGACGTGTGTGGTAATTCTACAATGAAAACTCAAAACGAACTAATGTTTTAAAAAATCCCCCTCAGCTCCGTACTCACCTGAGTCACATTCACAAGCACCAGCACCAGCAGACTGCCATCAATCTGAACAACCAAGATTCTCAGGCTATGCACCTTGAGACCCGTTTAGTGCAGCTTGACAGTGCTATCAGCATGGAACTCTGGCAGGTGAGTTCTGGTGCCGTATTTTCCTACCTTTCAAATTAGCGGCAGAGACACATTGTAAGGTTGAAATAAAATTATCATTAACTTTTTCAGGAGATCTGTTGTTTTTTAGGAATATGTTCTGTGTGGTTTTAGATGTTTGAAATCATTTTTCCAGTAAGATAGGGGAGGACGGGGAGGAGACAGTGTATTGGTATCTGATGTGAAAGGAATGAGTTTAAAACATGTTGTTTACATTTAGTTTACTGTCAGTAATTTAAAATAAAAGGAAAGAAATATAAAGTGAACAGGCCAAATTTGTTTTTACTCTTGTAAATCTACTGCTGTTGGCAGTGTTCAAACATTTTCATTTGTGTTGCATCGTGGTGAAATCAGGTGCTCGTCAAAATAATGAATTCGTAGGAGCTGAAATTTTTCTGCTTGAGGGGCAATTTTTAATCGATTTTTAATTGTAATTTTTAAAAAGATTTGCTCAACGTTTGTGGTTTGTCCATTAAAACAAATTTCTGTTTGGGTTTTGCTTTTTAAAAAAACAACCCCTAAAAACCACAAGGCACAAAAAATGCAAATTTGCAGTTTCTAAGGACATGCAAGGTGTGGAAGCCACCAAACTTTGGTGGCCAATTTTTTTGCTAATTTTACCTCTGCCACCAAGTGACCCCCACCACCTTCGATTGCAAATATTTTTTTACTTCTGTTCTAGAGAAGTGGTATTTCTTCCTCTAAAGCAAGAGAAGTAAACAAATTTTAAAATGATACCAGAAACTCCTTTTTACAAAAAATTGACGAGAGCCTGACACCACCATGTGGTGACACATTAATATTTTATTTGGACATATCATTTTCACTCATAGCCAGTTGTGCTCTTTTGTTCCCTCTTTCATGGGAAGCTTTCAAAACTGCAGAAGATATCCATAAGATTTTTTTCGAAATGCTATTCTCTCTTGTTCTCTCCATCACAGGAAGCTTTCAAAGCTGTTGAAGATATCCATGGGCTCATCATTCTGTCGAAGAAGCAGCCGAAACCTTCGCTCATGGCCAACTACTTCCAGAAGTTGGGACTTGTCTTCTCTAAGTCTGGGAATCATTTGTTCCATGCCTGCACCCTTCATAGACTCTTCAACTTGTCTAGAGAGCAGAGAAAGAATCTTTCTCCAGAGGAACTTCAGAAGTAAGTGTTCAGTGTTGCAGTTTTGATTAATTTGTTGATTGAATGAAGTGAGGAACACTATAGTTGCAGTTCGCAATCTGCAAATTACCAAAACCACTTGACTTTGCAGACAGAAAGACTGAGTGGTTGGCAGGTGTTCTGGGATGGTTTGCTCATTCTTTCCTCTGACATCTGTCGTCCTTATTTCAGCTTCTCCTTTTTTCTGTTACTGTCCTGTGTCACCTAAATGATAACACAATGGTGTTCCAGGTGCTGTAAAACACTAAAGCAAAGACAAGCAGACAATGACCTTTTTAGATATTAAAAGGATATGCACTGTAAACATTGAATGTAGACTAAAGATGTTAAGTTCGTGAGTTTTAAACTTAATGTAAAAATCATTCACTAATTCTTTTTAAAAATAGAACAGCTCCGCATCTTAAGAAAAAATAATTGTGGTGTTTTTTTATGTACATTAAAAATAATAGATTTCATGTGTTTTTGTTCAGATTTTTTTTGCCTCATGAAATTTTCATTTTCTTCAACCCAGGATGGCATCCCGAGTGCTGTGTGCCACTATGGCCATCCCAATTCCTCCAAGCAGAAATGTTATTGGTAACCTGCTGGTTTTGGATGAGAGTGCTCTTGAAAAACAGCGAAAACTGGCAACTTTATTGATGCTCCAAACCCCTCCAACCAGGCAATCCCTGGTGAAAGACTTGGTAAGCTTGAGTGTGCACATGCTTTGATTTTTATTTCTGCTGCAAATTGCGGCTCACTTTGCAGTTTCGGTACTTTGAGCCTTGGGGAAAATGCAAACTCTCGATAACAATCCATGTTTACCAAATGGGAAGATATATTTCCTTTTTATGTTTAAATTGACGTTATTAGAGTTACAAAAAATTGTTGCACACTATTTTAAAAATAAGTTTTGTTTGAATTTTGTAGCCACTTTCTGTGGAAGCTCGGTTTGGGTGTCAAAAGTAGTATGCCACATTGTGGGTTTTGAGCATGTATAAAAGAGTGGCGGTGAGAATGTGTTATTCTGATATTAGAAGATCTCATTAAATGTGTGAATATAGTCAGCCAGTCTAGAATTCATTTAATTTTGAAACTGAAAACGCTGAAGGGAGATTTAGCATTACCGGCTTTGCCGACTGTCTCAAATTTCCTGGGACAGTCTCAGATTCGGCAATCGAGAATCTGAGAAGGGATAAATTTACACAAGACTTAAAATCAGTTGTATTTGATGTTATTTTGTTAGTTGGTATGTATTCTGATGTTATAACATTAAGTGTCCCAGATTGGTGTTGAAAAAGTTTGGCACGCCTGTATTGGATTCAATAATTTTAAGTGTAAATTTTTTCATGTTTTGTTCCATGATTATTGTTTGAAAAGGGAACCTCTGATTGGGTGGTTAGCTTATGAAGTTGTTAAGTATTTTTACTATTCATGCTTGGGTTTGAAGGTTCATACAGGTTTTCCCTATTACCTTTATATTATCTTATATTATCATCAGCTATGGCTTCATCCTGTAATAAAGAATCACAGACATGGGAAGTGTTGCAAGACTGAATTATATATGTTTGTTTTTTTCCCTCCTGATTAGGTAAAATATGGTTGCATCCAGTTTGCCCACCAAGAGCTGCAGAACCTGTATCAGTTTTTGGAGGTTGATTTCCATCCACTCAGCCTGTACAAGAAAGTCAAGCCTGTGGTGGAGTTCATCGAGAAGAGCGATGACTTGGCTCAGTACGTCCCCCAGCTGGAGGACATCATCGTCTCTAGAGTGTTGAAGCAGGTCAGTTGTTAACTCATTGCTTTGTGGTTCTCACTCGTGTCAACCTGTGAGTCCAAGCGTATGCCTCTGTTCATGTCTCCTTCACCGTATCTAAGTTTTCCTCACTAGTTCAGATGAAGGGAGTCATGATTCAATGGGCTCATACACACTCAAACTGGCTTATTGTAGCAATGTCACTTGCCGTGCATCAGCAATGCTAAAACACTGGATTCGTCGCAGCTTGAGGTAACCTGGGAACATGCTCATTTATAATACCAATGGCTCATCAATATATGCTGGAGAAATTGCAGCTTTCACTGAACAAGCTTTTTTAAAAATATCTTCAGTGACAGTCAAGATTTTATCTATGTTGTCTTGTGCTTCATGCTCAAAGCGTTCCTTTTGTAATTTAACCTTTCCTTTTGAATTCTTCCAGGTGTCTCAAGTATACCAGCAGATCAAGTTCAGTAGATTTGCATCTTTGGTCCCCTTTGCATCAGAGCACCGCCTTGAGGGTGTCATTGTGGATGCTGCCAAAACTCTAGAACTACAGGTATGATTCACTGGTGTTAATTAAAATTGTTCTCAAAAGTCTCTTCCCCCCCCCCCCCCCCATACATGTCATACTTTTTTTTCCATATCATTTTATGTTCTTAGAAAAGTACTCTGAAACACATTTGTTGACTTCTACTTTGTAAAGGGATGAAGAAATCCTTTCCGAAAGAGGGTTCATGGGCCAAGGTTTAGTATTTTTTTGTCGTCTTTGTTTTTTTGTTTTGTTTTTTTTTGTTCTCCTTATTGCAGTGATGATTATGTTTTGCAGGAGTCTGATGTCAGGGGCAGGATAAAGTTTTCTCATTTCATTTAACTCTTTTACTCTTTTCACTGTTACCACCTCTGCTCCTTCCCATAAATTTGTACTGTTTACTTTTTTGGGTTTAACTGTTTTTGAGGAGGGAACTAATGTGACTTTTTTGTCTTATCTTTTATGGGGAAAAGAGAAAGGGTTTTTATATATTTTCACTTTAGATGACCTGTCGCACGTTAACGCTCGCGCACACACACGCTCACAGGAGAAAGAGATATAGTTAATTGTATGAGTTTGTACATGTAATATATGGTCTCCCAAAAAAGATTTCCTTTTTAAGTCCCTGCTGTTATTGCTCTTAATGCTTGAAGCGAATCTGTAGGGAATACAAAATGTATGAGAACTTTTTTTGTTTTTTTCTTTGAAGGTTCGCATTGACCATCGGACGCACTCCTTGAGTTTTGGAACAGATCTTGGTGTATCTCAAAAGGAAGATATCCCTGAAGGACCGTACATTCAGAGCATGCCCAGTGAGCAGATTCGCAACCAAGTCATCAACATTGCACAAGCCTTGAACCAGGCCATGGACATTATTGGTCCAAAAGAGAGCACTGTGGTAAGAATGGCTTCACAGACTGCTTTTTTTTTGGCATTGATTTTTAACTTCAGATTGCAGCTCTTTAGTTGGTACTTTTTGGAGGACGGTTGAGTCACAAAAGAAAGATTACATTGCATGTAGCACATATGAGGTTATATAAAAATGGCCAGTCGAAGACTTGCTCACTCGCAAAAAAAAATTGAAATGCTTTTCAGAAAAAATCTGTACTTTGACTATAAATAGATACACATGTTGACAAAATGTTTTGGCTAATATTAGATAATTTTAGGACTCTTTGTTTGGGGTTCAAGGTTTCCTTGATAGTCCTCATTTCTGTGTATTTTCCGTATAACTTTTTGTGTCTCGGTGTACCCTTAAGTGGTACTTTATATATTTGCTTGCTTCAAAACATGTTTATGGTTTTTTTCAAGTTTGGATGTTGTACCAAATAACCGGATTTGTTGTTTTGTGTAGTTTGCTAGGGTGCGCAGTGTCTATTATTCTATAAAATACATGTTTATAATTTAATGCTGTTGGCGTAGTTCATAGTAACCTTTTATTGTCTCTGTCCTTCATTGTACCCACATTAAATGGTTGTCATTGTGTCTATATGCAACTTTACGGTGGGTGTTGTGTTTCAGACTTCAGCGCTATCACGCAATGTTCGAACCGTGGGTTATGAGTCAATTGCTTGAGTGTTTACATGTCTGCATGCTTTGTTCCAGGTGGAAGAGGAGGAACTGAAGACCACAATCCTGAATAACTATCGGCTGTCAGCCAAGAAGGAGCACACTCGCATTCTGCAGAGACGTCAAATCATTGAAAACCGCAAAGAGCAGCTGGAACAGAGCCAAGATCAGAGGGTCAGTTCTGTAGACCTTGTGGAATTTATGATGTTACTCGGTTGGTTTTTACATAGATAACTAGTCACTGATGATTTTATCCTGTAAACTGTATACAAAGTTAAAAACTTGTGCATTTCTAGCTGCTGATTTTTTTTTTTCAAGTAACATTTATGATTTTTGTTAAAGGTCAAGGTATGGTTGTCATTTTCATGTTGGAAGGTGTCTGTGGTGAATTTCTCTTGTGCGGGTTGTGGACATTTTGTTTATGTTTCTTTCGCTTGCAAGATGGCTTTTTGCTGAAAATGAATAATTTTAATTTTTAAGATACTGTAATAATTACGGAAACTCATCATTTTGTATTGTCCTCTCATTTGTACAGGAGAGAGAAGAGTATGAACAGCAGGAGGAACAGAGAAGACGCGCGTATGAAGCTGAGATGGCTCGTCTCGAAAGAGAAGCTGAAGAGCGCAGCAAACAGCGTCAACAGGAGGAGCATGAGCAGATTAAGCGGCGCCACGTCCGAGAGCGTCTTGACGAACTCCGAAAGACGCCACAAGGCTCGAAGATTCTGCAGAACATTGATGAAGAAGTAGGGAAATTTCACTGTGATTTGTTCGTTAGATGGATGAAATCTCTGTATGCTTTGTGTGTGTGTTATGAAAGGCAAATTTGTATGGTCATACTGGTTTTACAATTGGTTTTTAGAATTTCATTCTGTAATGAACAGTTCAATGAGTTTAATATAAGTTTATTTTATAATTGTTGATATACTCAAGATTGTATCATTGAATTGTCTTATTGTGTATGTTCTTTTTGATCACAGGAGATTGCAGAGCTTGATGTGGATGAGATCATGGCAAAGCAGGTGGAGCAACTAGAAAAGGAGAAGAAAGAGCTTCAAGAGAGACTGAAAGGCCAAGAAAAGAAGGTTTGTTTGGGGGGGGGGGGGTTTGATGTTGTCATTTTTAAAGGGATATTGATAATGAAAAGATTACGTAAAGTGAGCAATACTTTGTATGTGTTGTCCTCGGATTAAAAATGTTTTCCCATCATAGATGTATCAGCAAGTCTTTGTTATTAGTATGGTTATCCCTCTTTCAGGATTTCTTGAAATTCTGTGGTCTCGTTTCTACTATCTTTAAGCTATTGAAGTCTTTGACACTAATAGAACCATTACTGGCTTTAGTGAAAAGAGGTTGGTTTTTAATCAATGTGGGGTCTTGATAGATCCATGGGGTTCATAGATTCATTGGTGTGTGTAGAAGTTTCCTGATAACGAAAGAGAGGTTCATACTTCTGAAAACTTGTGTATAAGAGAATGTACTGTTAATTGGAAGTGGGGGGGGGGGGGGATGATTGACTATTCAGCTCCAGCAAAGGTCACTATAATGTTATCAGCCCTGAAGATAAAAGTTTAGCATTGCTTTTATTTAGATATTTCTTTTACATCTTGTCATGATTTAACCATAGAAATGTTTTGCTTATCTCATCAATAGGTTGACTATCTAGCTCGTGCGAAGCGGATTGAGGAGATTCCGTTGCTGCAGGAGCAATATGAAGAGGATCAAAAGGCTCATAAACAGTTCTGGGAGGAACAGGAGAAACAAAGGGTAAGCACTGTGCATCACTGGATTAGATTGTTTCAGACTATGAGGAAAACTGAATAGCAAGAAAAAGGTGATGTTGCTATTAATGAGTGTTTTTCCAATTTTTTATGTTGTGAAAATTCGTGCAAATGAATCCATCTTTCTGTAGCTTGAAAGTTTTGTTTCTGATAAGTAGTATGTAATTAATTACTTTTAGTTTGCATAGTAAATAGTTTTATTTGCTGAGAAGTTATACCTTAGCTTATCAAACCAATTTGAAATTAATCCTTATTGAAGGGTTGTTTGTTGGTATTTTTTAATGGTACTCGCAGCTGCACAAAGTCATATGAGTGTGTGGGACACATTAAGCATTTTTAGTTTGGAAGGAATAATTTTTGAATTTTTTTGTGGGCGGTGGCGGAAGCCTTCTCTTATTGATTTTAGGACCACCAACGGATCTTTAACGTTCACAATTTGCACATGAGACCTTGTCGAAGAAGGCTAGGTATTATATCTTACCTACCCTAAGATCAGGGATGTGGCTGAAAGACGGTTGTAAGAAGGAGCCAAGAGTAGCTGTAGAAAGAGTATGCAGTCCAGGGGAAGGGAGGGGGCAGAACATGGTTAGAGAGTAGGAAAGGAAGTGAATGGAGAAAATTTAAGGAAGAAAATGTTCCGTCACTCTTAGGTTTTGAACCCTGGACCTATTGAATGAGAGGTAAACACCATACCTCTGGACAACAAGAGCTTCCAGATCTTTTTTGTGAAAGTAACAAGCTTGTTCTTGTTGATCTTCTGTGAGGATGACTTACAAAAATATTTGATCAAAGTTCCCGCTGTACAAATCTCTAATAAATAGAAATCGTTATTTTGCCAGAAATGAAACAAAGTTAAATGTTGGTGTTATAGTTATTTTCTTAAATGATTCTCAGATCGAGAATATGAAGGAAGAAAGGACTCATGCCCTGGAGACCAAAGCTCGTTTGAATCTGATGAAAGCAGACCTGGATTCATTTACCAGCACCCTGAAGAAGGCAAAGAAGTCTGAGTATGAGGTGAGTAGTTTAATGAGTGTGGCATTATAACTTGAGTGTTTTGAACACATGAAGTATTAGATATATTTTAAATATCAGAATTTCGTTTTAACTTAAACAATTCTTTTCGGAGTAGTTAATCGACGTATGTGAAAGGTTGTCTCATACATGCGTTACTGAATGCACAGCTGTGTTACTCATTGTGGTAGTTCTAATCTAGCTGTCGAAAGAGCACAAGGCTAAGGCTACTAGACCTGCATGTTTGCCGACAATCGCGACCCGACCCGCGAGCTGGCCGATGCTATCGCTAGGCCCACCTGTATCAGTCAATGTGCGTAGTGCGAGGCCTGGCCGACTGCCAGCGACCTCTTTTTCTCCCGTCGGCTTTGTCGGCACCTTCACTTTCGTGCCGACGGCAGACGTCGGTGTTGTCGGAACCTGAGTAGAAATGCGAATACGAAAAAGGAGGACGGCCTAGATTATCTAGACCTGCATGTTTGCCGACAATCGTCTGAAATCCGACAATCGCGAACCGGCCAATGCTATCGCTAGGCCTGCCTGTATCAGTCAATGTGCGTAGTGCGAGGCCTGGCCGACTGCCAGCGACCCCTTTTTCTGCCACCGGCACTTTCGTTTTCATGCCGACTGCCGACGTCGGCGTTTCCGACATAATTGTCGGAACCTAAGTAGAAATGCGAATACGAAAAAGGACGACAACCTAAATTATCTACTTTCAGTTTCGTGCTCGAGCGGTCATTTTGAATTTCGTTTGTTTACTAATTCAATTGTTCAAATCGTGTGGATTCATTCAAGTCCGACTCTCTTGTTCTAATAGAATCTAGATCTAGATCTAGATTTATATAGATCATTATAGACCTCAATGGAGGATTCATATTCCAATTCTGTTGTGTCAAACCCTATCATAGGTTGTGCTGTAATATTAATATTGGTAAAAATAAGCATTTCATCAGGTGTGTGAATTATTTATTTATTTAGATATAGATTCTAGATCTAGATCTAGAATCTAGACTCAGCTGAGTCCCTCTGTTCGGAATCGGATGCGGATTTCTAGTTCAAGGCCTATTCCTATTCACTTGTTCTACAAGATCTAGATTTATTTAATTACTAGATCTATATGGAGGATTCATTTTCCAATTCTATTGTGTTATTGTATCAAACCCTATAGCAATGTAGATGTAAGCCATATATAGATCTAGATTTAGATCTAGAATCTAGATCTAGATCTATATGCTCCTTGTTTTGGAATGTGGTTTTTTTAATTAAATTTTTTTTTTTCATTTAGGACTTGTTTTGGCCTTTTTACATGAGGCCCGTTGCAGGTTCTTTTTGGGGGTAGGGTTAGGGTTAGGTCTCTTCTTTATTGTGTTTGTTGAGGTGGTCGCTCGTTACTCGGATGTCCTTCCTTATGACACCCACAAAGGCTTTTATTTTTGGGGGGGGGGGGGTTGCGCAAAATTTTCAGACAATCTAGTTGAGGCTCACATGCAGGTCTAATTATCTACTTTCAGTTTCGTGCTCGAGCGGCCATTTTGAATTTCGTTTGTTGACTAATTCAATTGTTCAGATCTTGTGGATTAATTCAAGTCCGACTTACTTGCCCTAATTAAATAGACTCTAGATCTATATGGAGGATTCATATTCCAATTCTATTGTGTTATTGTTATTGTATCAAACACTATTAATATCACAAAATTTTCAGACAATCTGGTTGAGGCTCACATGCAGGTCTAAATTATCTACTTTCAGTTTCGTGCTCGAGCGGCCATTTTGAATTTCGTTTGTTGACTAATTCAATTGTTCAGATCTTGTGGATTAATTCAAGTCCGACTTACTTGCCCTAATTAAATAGACTCTAGATCTATATGGAGGATTCATATTCCAATTCTATTGTGTTATTGTTATTGTATCAAACCCTATTAATATAGCAATGTAGATGTAGGCCTGGATCTATGCTCCTTGTTTGTTTTGGCGTGGTTTTTTAAATTTTGGACTTGTGCTGGCCTTTTTACGTGAGGCCCGTTGCAGGTTCTTTTTTGGGGGTAGGCCTAGGGGTAGGGTTAGGGTTAGGTCTCTTCTTTATTGTGTTTGTTGGGGTGGTCGCTCGCTACTCGGAAGTCCTTCGATCCTTATGACACCCACAAAGGCTCTTAAGGGGGGGGGGGGGGTAAATTTTAAGACAATCTGGTTGTGGCTCACATGCAGGTCTAGGCTACTCCAAAGCCTCTTGAAATCTGTTCAGGTGTAAGAATCAGAAACCTGGGGAATGTATGTTAATGGCTTTTGCTCCATCAGGAATTATAAGGCCTCTAAGTGTGCGTTCACTGTCGCAGTTGGGAATTGTCGTAAGAGTTGTGATCCCTATCTTTTTAGGTATTTTTAAACAAGCGCAGAGCTGTTTTCATTGTGTTCTTTTGATGACAGGAGGTTTCTATCAACTTTTTTTTAAAGTTCAGGCTCTGGAGTGGGCATGATCTGTGTAGTCCATATTCAGCTAAAGTAGAGGGGTTGGTTAGTTTTACTTCCTGAAGAGTCGTAACACTTTGCCATCACTTCTCGTTGATCAGCTTTATTTAACACCCAGTTGCTTTGGATGTTCCCCAAAACGCCTTTGCCTTTACTATGTGTGATGCAGCGTGGTAAAATCAGGCGCTCGCCAAAATAATGAAAGACAAGAAATTGGCATTTTTCAGCTCGTTTAGGAATTTTTTTTCGAATTTTTGTTTTTTGGCTCAACACCTTTCATGCCCATGAAAGAACGCTTTTCTGTATGGATTTACTGAAAAACGTTGATTAAAGCCAGAAACGATAAAAATTTTCAGTTTCCATGGACTCTCAATCTAAGGAATTAACTCAACTTTGGTGGCCATTTTCTCGCTAATTTTACATTTGAAACCAGGTGACCCCCACCTCCAATAGCTTGACTTGTATCAAAGGTAAAGGGATCCTTTTTTCACGAAAAGCAAGGCAAATGGACTAGCTTTAAGATGATGCAAGTAACTCCATATGTTCCAAAATTGACGAGTGCCTGATTCCACCGTGTCATGACACATATGAGCTTTGTGGTGGCAAAGTGTTAAGCTCTTCAAGTTGTAGAGAGTTTTTCTGGCTAGTTTTTCGTATTTCATTCTTGAATCATCAACACTGTCATGAATTTTGACATTTACAGGATAAGCTCAGGGAGTTTGAGAGGCTTCTTGCTGATGAGCGCAGAAAACGTCTGTTTGAGAGGAAAAAGCAGCGCAAAGAGGAGAGGAGACAGAAATGGAATCAGGATAAGGAGGAAGCTGCTCAAAGGGCACGCGATGAAATGCTGAAGAGAGGTGAGAGTTTTGACTCATGTGTTTTGAAAATGGTTGCTCTCTGCAGGGATGATCGTGAAATGTGTTGATGGGGTCCATTGACATTCTGTATCATATGTTTGGATTTTATTTTGTTCTGTGCAATGTTCCTAGATAACAGCAGTCTTTTGGAGGGAAAAGCTTGACAGGGAACAATAGAATCATCATCGTTAAGTGTGAGATCTGAAACTTACACTCATTTCTCTGCTCGGATGCTCTAAAAACATCTATACTACCCTGTCACCTATCTGTTCAAATTCTGTTTGTTGATTTTGGTCTATCCCTTTCCCTTTTGCCTTGTATTTTTTCCAGTGAGAGCAAGATGTTTAACTCATTGACGACGTGCCGGGACCCGGCGAGGTCAACAAACTCTGAAGACGCGCCGGGCCCCGGGGCCCGGCAACTTGTGCCATTTTTTTTTTACCTAAAAACTAATAGAATCTCAAGGGGAATGACTCCCAGTGTTAGTTAAACCATTTAAATTTATTGTGGTTGTATCCCTTTGACCATTGGTCACCCGAAATGTCTGCTATAAGAAACCTGCCGAAACACGCTGACCTGACCTACTTTTTACATAAACAAAAAACAGAGAGCTGCTGGAAGCTCCTTTCACTATCGCTTCGATAGGGATTATTGATTCAGTAAACTACAATGCTCCTGGCAATGTCACTATTCTTATAGATAATATCACTATGTATTACTTGTTTGAAACCATTCTAATAGACTACAATCAATTCTGAGATCCATGAGCTTAGCTCATAAAAAGTTTTTTTTCTCTGTTTACATATAATTATTTTTTTCACCTAAAACATAATTTTTTCAAAGTTTTTGTAAAAATAAATACATTTTATGTAAGTATACATGACGATCTTACTTTGTGTCAACTTTTATACCTCTGCAGTTGATAGGTTTATCACACTGATTTTTTAAAAATAGGTAAGAATCGTGCGTTTTCAGGGAAATTTTTGGTGAAAAACTTGCGTCGTCAATGAGTTACGCCTTTATATTGATTCAAGTGCCCCAGCAACTGCATTTGTCTTTTGTTGATTAGTTTGTTTTTATTAGTGAGCAGCCAACTTTCTTTTCTTTCAGTACTTTTTCCATTTGATTTCTTTTCATGAGAAAGTCTCCAATAAAACCAAATTTCAGTCACCTTAGGTTTATTTTCACTACTTGTGGTAATTGTTCGGCATTCACATTACATACATCAGTACAAAAACTTGACTAGTACATGTCATTGTCACAATTTGCCCCTAGCTATGATTTTGTTTTATAGCATTATTAGTCTTTCTGAAATGTCTCTGAAAATTGTTTTATAAAATGTTAAATCTCCATAAAGGCAAGTAGGGTATCATATGGGGAGAAAATCTGTGAGAATTTGTAAATATCCACCCTCCCTTATGTAATGGCTTTTTAAATTAACCCGTTTCCATTCCCACCTGCAGAACGTGAAGAACAAGAACGTCTTGAGCAGGAGAAGAGAGAGGAAGAAGAGCGAGTATACCTGGAGAGGAAAGCTAAGCTGGATGAGCAGATGCAGAAGCAGATGGCTAAGGAGAGAGAAATCGAAGAGAGAGAGGCAAAGCGCAGAGAGGAAGTGCGCCAGCAGTAAGTGGGCCTTGATAGGGCTACTATCTTTTTGCACTCTTAAGTGAACATGTCTGAGATCTCTGAAAAAGTCTCCATAACATTGAACAAAAGTGCCGTTCTACAACTCTTGTGTGTATGCCAAGTCCTGGATCAAAGGGAACATGCAAAAAAGCTGTGGAGTTCCATGTAGTGATTTAAGTAGAGCAGCAAAAATCTTTTGGGTTTTTCTGTCTTCTAAAAAATGGACTGTCTTGGCAGTTTTCCTACTTTTGAAAAGAAACCAATCATATATTCTCTGTCATTCTAAAATGGCTTTCTAATTGTATTCTCTGTTATTCGAGAATGGCATTTCTAATTGGTCTGCTCTAGAGGGGTTATTGTTCAGGGCAATGATTAAGTAAGTGAATTCTGTTTCAACTGTCCCTCTTTAGAGTGCTTCGTTCTTTAGTTCAAAACTAAATAATAAAAATTTGACTTTCTTTAGCTTAGCTCTGCACATTTACTATTTTAGTATCTGTGCCTATTGGCATGCTATGATGTGAGATTGACTTTTGAGACCCTCTTGAACGTTTTCTTAAGAAGAGGCCAAGAAAACTTTAAAATGTGTTTGCAATTTAAAAATCTTTTTATTACTTTATTTTTGTTTTCGTCGTTTTTTTTATTAATACAATGATTGTCGCTTTCAACGAGGTTGCCGGGACTGGCTTGTTCTGACCGTCGTTTATGCATTAAAAAATTTTTTTCCCCGGAGCACTTCCTGTGTGGAAACATACCCTCTCACATCTAGGCTTACATCTACATAAAGTAAAAGCGGGAGCTTTTCTGATCAGGGGCAGAAAAGAAAATTGAAAAAAAAATGGTCTCGATCTAGACCTACCCATCCAGAGTTCATCCAGTTTCACACAGCCTGCATTGCGTTCCCACCCACCCCCACCCACCACAAAGCCCAGTAAACATCGGTAGATAAATGGCTAAACAATGTTTATGATGGAACTCAGTTTTTGTTTTAAAAAATTGATTTTTGACCTTTATTGCTCTGTATCTCAGTTCAAGCAATTGTATATTACTGTACCTTTCACCAGGCAGGCACATATGTATCAAATTTTTGTACTGTTGTGAACATTTTGAGAGGCAATTCATTTTACTAGCTTGAAAATTATTCTTTTTAATGGTTCGGTAAGCCATGGTTCTTCAACTAGACTTGCTGCTACAAAACGGAGAACAGGCCTACAACTCGTTAAGACTAGAGTAGATTTTTATAAAATTTAATTTTCATTTTTTGTTTATTTTGAGAATGGTATCTTCTGATATTTTTTCTCCCCTGATAAAGCAAGGAAATTGAGTCATTATATGATGTGTCTGAGTTTTCTGCCACTGATTTTTGGTCAATTGTTTATCCAGGCGTGATGAATCAAGGCGCGATGACTCACGGCGTGACCTTGACAGGGATGGGGAGAGGGAGCGAGAGAATGAGGGAGACTGGCGTAGAGGAGGAGGAGGAGGTCAAGATGAAGGGGAGAGCAAAGCATGGAGACCAAAGGCTGGTGGCTGGAGAGAAAGAAACCAGGAAAAGGACACTTGGAGATCCAGAGGGTAAGTCTCGGAACGCCGTCATGTTTTGCGGTCAATCATGTTTGAAAATTCATATAGACCTATTCAGGTATAACGGTTCCACAAGTTTTCTTGTCGTGCAATACTATATTTCTAGCATAAGTTATCATGGGAAAATGTAAAAACTGGGTTGGTCCTGGATTTAAGGCACTTTGTTTCAGCCCTCCACAGTTAATGGAGTGGTATCAAGTGAGCTCTACACCCCCAGTCTGTGGGAGACTCATTGAAAAAACCCAAAAATAAAATAAATTACACGTCAAGCCCAAACTGGGTCCATGAAAACCTTAGGGCCTCTTCAGAAGAGACGAAGTCATTTTTACTCGATTGCGCATTGGACACACGTCCCCGACACACTAATACCTCCTTCAGGGAGAAGAGAAGGCGTTTTGTGTCGGATGCAACACAGATTTTACCACTAGACACATTTTAACAGAATGTCTAGACTTCGGAGAGACCCGATAGAAATATTTTAGATGCAAAAAACTGCAAGACCTGTTTTCTGTCATTGATCCCAACAGAATCCTTGATTTTATAAAGGCCATTGGCCTTGATGGAAAATTGTAAATAACATGGTTTAAAATTTTTAACATTATTTTAAAAAGTATTCAAATTTAAAATTTATTTACCCCCATTTTTTTGGTATTTTAGCATTTTAGTAAAGGTGTTGACCAGATTCGGGCTATGCAGTGAACTGTTGCAAATAGAACCAATTTGTTTTTCGCGCGGTAATATTACTTTATGCAGTTGCAAGCGCAGTAAAACTCTTACTAAAACAAAAACAAACAAGTGAGCTCAATGGCTCAACTTACTTTATAAAGTTAAAAACTATTGTCTAATAAGGTGCGTGCGGTTTCCTATTTCTGTTGGAGCAATTTTCAGTATGATAGTTTTTACATTCTCTTCGTGATAAATCATTCAATATACCCCAAAGCTGTCAGTTCACAATGGTCATTGGGCTAGCTTAGGCTCAAGTGAGTAAAGAATACATTCTGAAGGGCCTGTGGAGGAGAAGAATGTCCTGGTTTGAAACATGTGTTTATGCTTTTTTCTGCAGAGAGGCAGACCCTGAAGGGGATGGAGAGTATGAAGATGGCCCACCAGCAGATCATGATGCCGGGGGACCTCCAGCTCCTCGAGAAGGTGATGGTTTACGAGGACCCCCGAGGGACCGGGACGATCGTCCTCGGGCCCCACCGAGGGACTTTGATGACGGAGGAAGTCGCGGACCACCTAGGGGTGACAGGGACTTCCGTGAACCTGATGACAGAGATGGAAGGGGCCCCCCTCGCGACAGAGATGATTTCAGGGGTCCGAGGGACGAGAGAGGCCCCCCAAGAGACCGAGATTTCCGTAGGCAACCAGACAGAGACGCGAGAGACTTTAGGGATAGGGACCGTGACTTTGAAGACAGAGGGCCCCGTGACTTCCGCGATGACCGAGGTCCGCGCGATGATCGTGGTCCACGAGACGACTGGCGCGGAGGCCGGGACCGGCGGCCAGAGGGCGACAGCTGGAGGTCAGGACCGCGCGACGCACCCAGGGACGGTCCCAGAGAAAGAGACAGCTGGAGGGACAGGCGAGATGACCGCCCTCCGCCCAGAGAAAGGGACGACTGGCGTGGCGGGGACAGGGCTCCTCCGAGGGACGGGCCTAGAGGTGGAGGCGGCGGAAGCTGGAGGGACCGGGAGGACCGAGGCCCCCGCGACGAGCCGCGCAGAGGCGGCTTTGGTGGTGACTCTGAGAGCTCGTGGAGAAGAGGTGGCCCCCCAGACAGAGAGGATCGTCGTGGTGGCGGCGGCGGCTTCGACCGGGATGACCGCAGAGGTTTTGACAGAGAAGACAGGGGTCCCCCTAGCCGTGATGATAGACGGCCTCCCCCAGAAAGAAGAGGTGGAGATAGAGAGGACAGCTGGAGGAGAGGAGGTGAGGAATTTTCCATAGGTTCTAGAGTATACATTTAAAACTTTTACTAGCTTTTTGTACCTTCTGTGACTGTTTATATACACCCCTCTCAAATGTGCAGTTTGTTGGGTTTTACAGGGCTGCCCACCATTATGAATTTGGTGGAATCGTTACGAATTTTGTGGAAAATATTAGCTACCCAAAAACCCTACCACATTATGCCGAAGGCCAAGGAAGTTGTCTCACCAACGAGGCAATTCTCAATGTCCGGATTGGATGCGCGAACAACTTACCCAAACCCACATCCAACTTTCCTGGGGTATCATCACGCCTTTGTTTACGCTACATTTATACTCTAGTGGACTACAACCCCTGTCATTGGCATCCCATTGAAGGTGGTTTTTCCATGACCTTATCACGAATTTTTAGGCCAGTTTACTAAATTTCTATCTGTTGTTTACAAAAAAAAATATGCTGATAGGTGGACAGCCCTGTTTTATTAGCCTTTGGAAGACTAATTTTTTTCTTTTTTTTTTTTAAATTCAAATTTTTTTTCCCCACTGATCCATACAATTGATCATAACAGATTTTTGTATAAATGCTCAGGGGTTCCTTATGCTTACAGACGATCGATTTGTGCTACTTTTTCTAGCATGCAAAAACATACAAATTTTAGCTTGCTAGTTAGAAAATTTGCGTGGTCAGGTGAAGCTGCTTCTGGGGAATTCACATAGTAGGAGTAGTCTTAAGGTTTAACTCACTTCAGACGGGTCACACAACAGTTGCGTGACCCCCGCCGCGACGCTCGCGCTTTTGTTTTCGTGCCGACGTCGGCGTTTCCGACATAATTGTCGGAACCTGAGTAGAAATGCGAATACGAAAAAGGACGACGACCTAAATTATCTACTTTCAGTTTCGTGCTCGAGCGGCCATTTTGAATTTCGTTTTGTTGACAAATTCAATTGTTCAGATCGTGTGGATTCATTCCAGTCCGACTCACTTAGATAATAGAATCTAGATCTAGATTTATATAGATCATTATAAGACCTCAATGGAGGATTCATATTACAATTCTATTGTGTCAAACCCTAGCATAGGTTGTGCTGTAATGTTAATGTTGGTAAAAAGCATTTCATCAGGTGCGTGAATTATTTATTTATTTAGAATCTAGACTCAGCCGAGCCCCTCTGTTCGGAATCGGATGCGGATTCCTAGTTCAAGGCCTATTCCTAGATCCTATTCACTTGTTTTACAAGATCTGGTCTTGATCTAGATTTATTTAGATTACTAGATCTATATGGAGGATTCATATTCCAATTCTATTGTGTTATTGTAGCAAACCCTATTATTATAGATCTAGATCTAGCAATATGTAGATGTAGGCCATTATATTTAAATATATATGCTCCTTGTAAGCCTTGTTTGTTTTGGAGTGTGGTTTTTTAATTAAAATTTTTTTTTCACTTTGGACTTTTGCTGGCCTTTTCACATGAGGCACGTTGCAGGTTCTCTTTTTGGGGTAGGCCTATGGGTAGGGTTAGGTCTGTCCTTTGTTGTGTTTGTCGGGGTGGTCGCTCGTTACTCGGAAGTCCATCCTTATGACACCCACAAAAGCTCTAATATGGGGGGGTTTGCGCAAAATTTTCAGACAATATGGTTGAGGCTCACATGCAGGTCTAATTGAAATGATAATAATATTATGTGCTTATTTTTGTCTGCTCACCAGGTGATGGCCCACCACCCAGGCAGGAGAAAAGAGAACCTGGTAAGTAGTTTTGTACTCAAAAGTTACTCTTTATGTCTTGGTTTTGTCTATTTTCTTTGTTCCTAGCACTTATTGACTTTTGGGGGGGAGGGGGGGTGTTCTTGTTTTTGTTTGCTCCTGGCACTTATTGACTTTTGGGGGGGGGGGGGGGGTATTATTATGTTCTTTTTTTTTTTCTTTCATAGTTGGCAAATGCCACTTTTTAGGTGTTCCTTTTCCTAGTCTGATATAGGAACGTTTTGATTTATCAGATAGCAGAAAAAAGCCCTTCTGCAAAAATCTCTCATTGACTAAAAACCTGTTCACATTTGTATTTTAAATAGCTAGACAATCTTTCAAACAATGCCCTGGACAGTGTTGGGTTCGAACTTTGTATTGAACTGCTGTAGAGAATTTTAAAGTTGTACTCCAGATTTGGTACAGGTATTAATTGGTGAACATAACATGGATGGCAGCGTCTTCTTTTTTTATCCCCTTCGTTGTCGTATGAAGTGCACAGTACGTCACAAAAATGTGTAATTCTTAGCTGTGTGTCATACAATGGACTTCACTGAAATTGGTAAACTTTGCCATTTCTGTAAGTCTATAATTACATAATTGTGTGGATACTATTCAGTATATTTTGGTCATGTGTATTTGTGTATTTAAAATAGTGTAAATATCTGTGGTGAGACAAAAAAAAGTAGCAAGTTCTGTTGCACCTGTGGGGGGCTCCTTTTTCATATCTGAATGTTTTGTTGTTTTTTCCCTTTCATTGCAGGGCCAGGTGAAGAAGATGATGGCTGGACAACTGTGAGATACTAGAGACCCATGTACCCAGAGTTTCATTATTTTGAATTTATGATCATGTATTTTTGAAGAAATTGCAGGTGAAAGTTATTTTTGTCTTCTTTTTATGATGTCTTTTTTTTCTCTGGGTGTCTTGAATTTTACGATGAATGTGGTTTGACGGAACGAGATAAGCATATGAATGCTTGAAGTCAGTGGTTAATTAAGTTTAGTTGAGAAGAGGAGATGATTTTGAGATTCGTATTTTGGCATGCCCATAATACGTTGTAATTGTTCAATTTGTTTTGAAATTTGCAAACTGCCAGGATTGCACTATAATGGTTAAATAATATGATTATGTCAATGTTTTACTCATCATTTTAAACCGATGTTCTACCTGCTAAAGAAAGTTTTTTTTGGTCTGCCCTCTTGATTCTTCTTAGGTTTGTCCCTGTTTCTTTCTGGTTTCCTTGTAGCTCCTACTCTGTTTCTCTGTTATTTGTGTCTATTGTCTCAACTTTCCTTTTCTCTTTCATCTGTTCTTCTATCTGGCTTTTGTCTTTAACTGAAATAAGTGACTGTTGTCTTTAGAGAGGAAGATATTTCCTCTGTTGATGTCTGCATTACAGTGTGTAGTCTTCATTATTTATTCACACAAAACATGGAGAAGAAGGAACAGTTTTTGATGATTTTAGTCTGTGTTTTCTCAATAGACATACGTAATCCAGCAGAATTTGAAAAATCTGAATTTCGCAAACTTTTAATTTTAATCCATGTGTATGGCTCCTTTGTTTGATTATGAATACATAATCCTACTGCAAATTACCTGTTCAGGATGTAAGATTAATTTTTGTCAGCATTTGCAATGCTGTTTATTCTTCATATGCAGTACATGATGCATGTGCAGTTGAAATTATAGTAAGTCTTGCTTGTTACTAGAATTAACTCTTTTCGATCAGATAGATATGATTGTAAGTTGGGCTCCTTTTAATTTTGGCTTGACAAGCTTTCTTTTATTCAGACTTTTGATGAAATCAAAATGTAACCGCTGTTCTGTTTTCAAGCGAATATGTTGTGGGAATTTGGTTATTTTAGTGTGGGGAGGGACCTGAAACAATTTTTTGGGGTTTTTTTTTCCTCAATGAAATAAAGCTTTCTTTGAAGTAAGTTACATTTGATTGTTTCTCCAGTTTTTGTTTGAGTTGTGGGTTTGTTAATTTGCGTGATTGTGTCCTCAGTATGGGGAGGATTTGACCCAAAAGTTTTGGGAAAAGCTCATTTCAACATCTCGTAGACTGCAAGTGGGACACCCTGTGGTGTGGTGTGCTGCTTCTGTTTCAGTTACAATCGGCTATGGATGAGTGGGTGGTTGGTGGATGTTCTGGTGTGGTTTGCTCCTTTTTTCCTATCGAATATCTATCGTCCTTATCTCTCCTCCTTTTTTGTGTTTGCTACTTTCTTGTAACACTTCGGCTCTTATATGACCTTATTTTGTAGCAATTGCCGTAAATGAATTGTCGTCCAGGGAATGGAAAAAAAGATTCACCGGTCCGAAGTTTAACTTAACCTTCGGGATTACAGAACCAAGGGACGTAACAAAATATTTCCCCCTTCTCATGATTTTAATTTTAGTAAATTACTGTGGTAAAAATAGTGGCGACGGGAACGGTGACTTTTTTAGTTTAAGTAGAGGTTTTACAGTGCTCGCAACTGCATAAAGTCATATTCTGAGCTTGAGGGGTGGATGTCAACAGAGAAGTCCTTACAGGGAATCAGACTTAACCTGCTCACCTCCCTAGCTTCAACAGCACAAAGTCTGCTTCGACTATCAAGGTACCCCGGAAATAACGGGTCGCAGAAGTGTGACAAAAAAAAGTAGAGGAAAAATGATGATAGTAAGGATTAGGAAAGAAAAGCCAACAGTTCCCTGTTGCTGTTCAGGCACAGTTATGAGCATGACATTGATGAGGGGGCTCTCGTAGCCTAGAGGTTAAGGTGTTGGCCTCTAATTCAAAGGTCCAGGGTTCGAATCTGGGTAGTGACCGAAAAATTTTCTTCTCTAAATTTGTCTCCTTTCACCTCCCATCCTGCTCTCTAGCAATATTCTGTCGTCTGCTTTCGTCTCCTCTTTCTGCCCCCACCCCCTTGCCTCCTTTGCCCCCTCCTCT